TTTCACCATGTTGGCCAGGATGGTCTCAATCTCCTGACCTCGTGATCTGCCTGCCTTGGCCTCCCAAAATGCTGGGATTATAGGCGTGAGGCACAGTGCCCAGCCTAAATTCTTTAAGTAAAATTAAAAGAGAGTATTTTGACTAATCTAAAAATACAAAACATTTCCAGTATTTAGGTTCAAATCCTTATCTAAACCTGTAAAGATCTTCCTAGGCTAAATTATGTTTCTGGAGCCCCAACCAACTAGATAGAATTGTGGTTCACTGTTGAGCTAGTAAGATGTAATAAATCTGTAAACAGTGATGTATAGTATAGTATCACATAATATGTATAATCTGTGCATGTGATGAACACTGCTTTCAAACAAAAGCTCTAACCTGATCAATAAAGAAGGGAAGGCCAGGAAGTCACTTTCTGATAACTCAGGTTGCCCCTCCTCCGTTTCAGGTGAATTAACTTCTTTCACAATAACAAATACTGAAAGCTGGTTCAGAGAGAGAGGAAAAAAAAATAGACAGTTAATAAATATATAAAATACCACTAACTTTCTTCTGTACAGCTACTAAATGACTAGGGGCTGTAGACTCGGGAATAAAATTTGAGGTTTTAATTTCTCTTTTCTTACCTTAGATGAAGAGGGGCAGGATGTGGGGTTGGGGGGAAGGCTTTAATAAGAGGGGCAAAGGCTTTAAATAAGAATGTAAAGGAACCAGTACAGTTCCAGAAACCATATTCCCATCACTCAACATACGAAATGAGGGTAAAAAAGGAGGGAAAAAGAACTTAGGAATAATAAAGGAAACCAAGGGAAAGTGAATGAGGATCTCAAAACAGTTTTATTTCACTTAGAACATTAAAAATCATCACATAAATTTTGAGATGAAATCATCTAACTCAGCAGTTCCAAGTATGGTCCCAGAATCCTAGGGGGTCCTCTCCCTTTTCCAACTACCTATCTGTATTAAGCTTGATTTTCTCATGTACTTTTACAAAAACAAGATATCCCAACAGACTGAATGCAGAAACTGATGAGAACCCAGTTGTTTTCTATTAAGCCAGACATGAAAGAGATTTGCAAAAATGTAAAACACCACCATTCTTCATGCTAAATTTTCTTTTGTTTAGGAAAATGTATTTTTCATAAAAACCTGTTTAGGTTAACATATTATTATTTCTAATCAAACTTTAAATGTTTCTCAATTCTAATTTCTAATATGTTTATATCAACAGATACAAACCAAATAAAAGCTCTTTGGAGTCCTCCATAATTTAAGAGTATAAAAGGGTTCTCAGACCAAAAAGTTTGAGAACTGACCTAGTGAAATAACTTGTCAGTCTTGCCAATTTTTAAAAAATAAACAGTAATTCTCTCTCCCCACACACCATTCAGAATGTGTTCCCACACTTCCTCCTCCTAACCATCCAATCATTCCCTTCTTTACCTTGTTCCTCAAATCCTTGGTCTAAGAGAAGTAAACCCTTCAGCATTGTCATCTAATCCAGACTCCCTGAGTCTCAAAAAAGCGGTAAAGAGTATATTTCAGCCAGGCGCAGTGGCTCACGCCTGTAATTCCAGCACTTTGGGAAGCCAAGGTGGTCGAATCACCTGAGGTCAGGAGTTCAAGACCAGCCTGACCAACATGGTGAAGCCCCGTCTCCACTAAAATACAAAAATTAGCCGGGCGTGGTGGCAGGCGCCTGTAATCTCAGCTAATTGGCAGGCTGAAGCAGGAGAATCACTTGAACCCAGGAAGTGGAGGCTGCAGTGAGCCAAGATCGTGCTATTGCACTCCAGCCTGGGCAAAATGAGCGAGACTCCATCTCAAAAAAAAAAAAAAAAAAAAAAAAAAGTATATTTCAAATCTTTCTTAAGCCAGAGTCTGATCTTCCTTTTTGCATTAATAACAGTATGTGGACTCCTGCTTATTTTCATGCATCAATTAACTAATAGCAGTTTCCTCCCTTCTTTCCTTTTTCCCTTCCTCCCTCTTCCCTCCCTCTCTTCCTTCTTCCCTCCTGTCTCCCTTTGTCCCTCCATCCCTTCCTCTCTCCCTCCCCCTCCCGCTTCCCTCTCTCCCTCCCTCTCCTTCCTTCCTTGTCCTCCTCCCTTCCTCTCTCCCTCTCCTTCCTCCTTCCCTCCTCTCCCTCTTCCCTCCCTTCCTCCTTCCCTCCTCCCTCTTCCCTCCCTTCCTCCTTCCCTCCTCTCCCTCTTCCCTCCCTTCCTCCTCCTTTCCTCCCTCCTCTTCCTCCCTCCCTCCTTCCCTCTCTTCCTCCCCCTCTCCTTTCTCCCCCTCCTCCTTCCCACTTCCCTCTTTCCTCCCCCTCCCCCTTCCCTCTTTCCTCCCCCTCTCCTTCCTACCCCCTCCCTCCCCCTCCTCCCTTCCCCACCTCTCCTCCTCCATCCTTCCTCTCCCTCCTCCCTCCCTCCCTTTTCGCTTCCTCTCTTCACCCCCTCCTCCCTCGCCCCTCCCCTTTTTCCCTTCCTCTATTCACCCCCTCCTCTCTCCCCCTCCTCCCTCCCTGCCCCCTTTCTCCCTCCCTCTCTCTTCTCCTTCCCTCCCTCCTTCCTTCCTCCCCCTTCCCTCCCTTGCTTGCTTCCTTCACGTTTGTGCACAAGCTCAGCAAGCCTGATTTAAAACGTTTAACAAGAAAGAAGAGGCAGGTGGATCACCTGAAGTCAGGAGTTCAAGACCAGCCTGGCCAATACGTGAAACCCCGTCTCTACTAAAAATACGGAAAAATTAGCCGGGCACGGTGGGGCGTGCCTATAATCCCAGAATTTTGCGAGGCCAAGAGGTCACCTGAGGTCAGGAGTTCGAGACCAGCCTGACCAACATGGAGACACTCCATCTCTACTAAAAATACAAAATTAGCTGGGCGTGGTGGTGGGCGCCTGTAACCCCAGCTCCTCAGGAGGCTGAGGCAGGAGAATCGCTTGAACCCGGGAGGCGGAGGTTGTAGTGAGCGGAGATTGCGCCACTGCACTCCAGCCCGGGCGACAGAGCAAGACTGTCTTTTAAAAAATAATAAAAAATAAAAGATAATTTTTAAAAAGCCCCAATCCCAAATGCACCTTGCAATCCAAAGGGAAGAAGTTTTGGGGAGAAGTTCTTCCCATTTGGGGGGTGCTCCCATTTTCCTCTCTCTTCCCTCACCCCTTATTCTCTCTCAGGGATAGGGGTTCAGTTCGGAGGTGTCCCTGAGCCACACGTCCTCGCCTCTCCCCGAAAACGGTGGCGTCCCCCTCTCTCTTTCCCGTTCCTTCCCTTCCTTCCTCCCACCATGAGGGAATCTCCCCTCCACTCCCACTCCCGCCAAGGCACCGTGATCCTCATTCTCACTCATATTGTCAGTGCCCGTCAGGAGACTGGGCTGTTTTTGTCTGTTTCTTGGGGACGACAGATTCTGAGGAAAAAGGGCCAAGAGCTGGTTGTCGCCCTGAGAAAGTTTCTCCTCAGGCAACGGGTGCCAGGACTGGCGGCGCCTAGCACCTTCACCTACAACCAGAAACTAGCCGGCTACCTTCAGGAGCAAGGAGGACCTAAAGGCGAGGTGCAAAACCAGCTGGCGCAGCGACTCCGCAAGCCTCTCACACCTCAACCCAGGTTTCCCGCCACCAAGAAAAGGCACGAGGACGTCGGGCGCGCTAGCTCCACCCCCGGGAGGCGCGCTCGCGGAGTCTGAGGCGCATGCGCAACTGGAAACAGCGTCTGCGTTTCCGCGGCTGAGGTAATTCCGCCATCTTTCACCCGACCGTCCCGGGAAAACTACAAATCCCAGAATCCTCTTTGGTGTCACATATTTTTAGGCGGCGGCCGCAGCGCCTGATTGTTCTTGAAGCACATCTTACTAACTTTTCTCTGTTTCAGACTGCCTTTTCCTCCCTCTTTCCGTTCCCTGATTCCTCCTCTTCCTGCTGGTCTCCTTCACGCCCTCACTTTAGGATTTTATTTGAGACTTTCCGGGACCCCACTGTCACCCCTGTCACCCGCTCCTCGGCCCAGCACTCCGCTGGCAGGAAGACCGGGCTGCGAATCTCCCCGGGAAAACGCCGTAGATTCGCTTCTTCCTCATTGGCCGAAGCGGGGGGGGGGGGCCCAGCGCGGACCGAACCCCCGTCCCCGCCCACACTCTCTGGTATATAAGTCGGCGCGGCGCCGCGGCGGGCGCTTGGGGAGGCCCGTGAGCTGACGGGCCAGTGAGCGGGCGTCGGGAATGGGCGGAGGCGTTGGGGTCCGGGCCGTGGGTGTGGAGGCGGAGAGGAAGGCGTGGTGTGGCGTCTCCAGGTGATTGCGATTGGGGGAAGGCAGAGGAACCAGAGAACGACTCAGCCGTTTCGGGGGAAGAGGAAGTTGGACAACACCGGCTGTTTTAGTGCTTTTTCTTTTTCCCCAATTCAGCAGAGAATATTTTCGAGGGGGGTGAGTTATAATGACCTATCGCGTTTTACTGAGCCCAGTTCCACTCCTGCCCTTCCTCGGCTTTGTAGGGTCTCTCTGCTCCTTCGGAAGCGCTTCTAAGAAGATGGGCAGAGGGGGGAGGTGTGCTACCAACAGCTCATGAATAATTCATGAGCACCGCCCTTCGTCGGGAAGCCCTGCCCCTCCGGATCGCGCTGACGCACGCTGCGTTTACCAAACTCAAGGAAGCGACGTCACAGGCCCTACCCCTAAGACGGGAGGCGGGGCGCCACCTCCAGCACGTGCTGCCTGTACCCGCGCAAGCCCAAAAGGGTGTGCGCAGGCGCTGCCCACTAGGGGGAGGAAGGAGGCGGGGTGGGGAGGTTGTTGGATTTAGAGCCGGGTGGAGACCGCTGAGACTCATTCCTCAGGAACAAGGGTCGGGTGTCAAGGAGACCTTTTCACACCAGGTCCCGTCCCCCGCCTACGGTGGGTGGGATCGCGCGGCAGAGACAAAGGAGATCAGTAGGGCCGGACCTAGCTGCGCAGGGAAGTAGGGTGTCAGTTTGGGGTGGTGGGCTTTTGCGGGGGCTGTGTGGGGGGTTATATTTAAACTCCCAGAGCCGTTAAGTTGGTTCGTACTCCGATGCGCGCGCAACCAGGGTGGTGGCGGAGTGCGCATGCGTGGTTCCGGGGCGAAGGGAACGCGCGCTTGCCGTGCGCGCTCGCGGCGGGGTGGTAGTGGCGGAGGAGAAAGGGGTCGGCGCACGCGCGGTTGAGTGCTCGAGTAGTTCGGGTGTCGCGGGCATCTTGTTTTGGTCTCGCGGGCGAGTGGGGCGCACTTCGCGGGGAGGCGCTTGGGCGCGAGACTAGGCGAGAAGAGCAGAGCTGCGCGCGCACTCGGGAAAGGGGGGGAAGGGAGCAGGGTCCAGGCAGGGGGGGTTAAGCCCCCTGATCCCCCTCGTTACCCCGACTGGGACGGAATAAGGGGAGGAAATGATCGAGATGGCGGCGGAGAAGGAGCCGTTTCTGGTGCCGGCCCCGCCGCCGCCGCTCAAAGATGAGTCGGGCGGAGGGGGCGGCCCCACTGTGCCACCGCACCAAGAGGCCGCCTCTGGGGAGCTCTGCGGCGGGACGGAGCGTGGTCCGGGTCCTTGCGCGCCGTCTGCGGGGTCCCCGGCCGCTGGGGTCGGTCGAGAGAGCCCCGGGGCCGCGGCCACCCCCCCCGGTGGTCCCCAGGCGCAGCAGCACCGAGGAGGCGGCCCCCAGGCGCAGTCGCACGGGGAGGCCCGCCTGTCGGATCCCCCGGGGCGAGCCGCTCCCCCGGACGTGGGGGAGGAGCGCCGGGGAGGGGGCGGGACAGAGCTGGGTCCCCCTGCTCCTCCTCGACCCCGCAATGGCTATCAGCCCCACCGGCCACCTGGGGGGGGCGGGGGCAAGAGGAGAAATAGCTGTAATGTAGGGGGAGGTGGGGGAGGCTTTAAACATCCGGCCTTCAAGAGGCGCAGGCGGGTGAATTCGGACTGTGACTCTGTGTTACCCTCCAACTTCCTCCTGGGGGGCAATATCTTTGATCCCCTGAACCTGAATAGCCTCCTGGATGAGGAAGTGAGCCGCGCCCTCAACGCAGAGACCCCTAAGTCATCCCCCCTTCCGGCCAAAGGGCGAGATCCAGTGGAGATCCTCATCCCCAAAGATATTACTGACCCGCTCAGTCTCAATACTTGCACTGATGAGGGCCATGTAGTTCTTGCTTCGCCACTCAAGACTGGTCGGAAGCGGCATAGACACCGGGGACAGCACCACCAGCAGCAGCAGGCAGCCGGAGGGAGTGAGAGCCACCCCGTGCTGCCCACAGCCCCTCTCACCCCCTCACTCCACGGGGAGGGCGCCTCACAGCAGCCGCGGCACAGAGGCCAGAACCGGGATGCCCCCCAACCCTATGAACTCAACACAGCCATCAACTGCAGGGATGAAGTGGTGTCTCCGCTTCCATCTGCTCTACAGGGTCCCTCAGGCTCCCTATCAGCCCCTCCAGCTGCCTCAGTTACCTCTGCACCCCCATCTTCCTCCTCCCGACATCGCAAACGTCGCAGGACTTCCAGCAAGTCGGAGGCAGGGGCTAGGGGTGGAGGCCAGGGTTCCAAGGAAAAGGGCCGAGGGAGTTGGGGAGGCCGTCACCACCACCACCACCCACTGCCTGCAGCAGGCTTCAAAAAGCAACAGCGCAAGTTCCAGTATGGGAATTACTGCAAATACTATGGGTACCGCAATCCTTCCTGTGAGGATGGGCGCCTTCGGGTGTTGAAGCCTGAGTGGTTTCGGGGCCGGGACGTCCTAGATCTGGGCTGCAATGTGGGCCATCTGACCCTGAGCATTGCCTGCAAGTGGGGCCCGTCCCGCATGGTGGGCTTGGATATAGATTCCCGGCTCATCCATTCTGCCCGTCAGAACATCCGACACTACCTTTCCGAGGAGCTGCGTCTCCCACCCCGGACTGTGGAAGGGGACCCGGGGGCAGAGGGTGAGGAAGGGACCACCACCGTTCGAAAGAGGAGCTGCTTCCCAGCCTCGCTGACTGCCAGCCGGGGTCCCATCGCTGCCCCCCAAGTGCCCTTGGATGGAGCGGACACATCAGTCTTCCCCAACAATGTTGTCTTCGTCACGGTAAGAGGGTCCAGAGGCTCTTGGAATAGGGGTCAGGTGTGAAGATGAGATTAAACGGGAATGTGGCAGGGAAGGTTATGACCCAGTTCCTCAAAAGAGAGGTCTGGGTTGGCAAGTGAGAGTCTCTGCTGGGCATCTCTCCCCTCTTATAACCTGAAAAGGTGGGGTCCTCCCCTCTTATAACCTGGAAAGGTGGGGTCTCTACCTTGGGGCATTGACCCTGGAGTCCTTTCTCATGACTGCAAGGATCTCCAAGATAAAGGAAGACTCTCTTTTTTTTTTTTTGCAGTGCTCTGGGCTTGGCCTATAATCCACACTGGTCCACCTTCCCTTCCCTTGAAGGCTGCTGCTCACTAGGGAATTCGATCCAGGTGGAACTTGGTCCTCAGATTGACTGAAGGAGCCTGAGATGGGGGTCGGGCATGGAATGTCTTCTAGGGAGATTAGGGTAGCAGCAGACTAATATTGGCGTTTCTGCCCTTTGATAGCCACCTTGCTCCCATCAGCGGCTTTTGTTTTTCTAGACAGTTTGTGAAGAGTGTCAGGAACCCAAGTGACTTGGCTGTAGATCCTCTCCACATTGACCCTAGATAATGGGAGAGGGAAGAACCAGAAACTCCTCTGCAGAGAGGAGAGCCCCATGCCCCACGGAGTCCCCTTGACCCCACACAGCTCCCCAGAGAACTCTCCAGTTAGGCCGCCTGCTGGGATCTTTGGCATTGCATTGGGTTAAGCCTTGAAGAATGGTCTTTTTAGAGGGTTGTGATGAGCTTATCTTCTAGAAAAGGCTTCCTAAAGGATGTGGCTCTTCATTTCTCTCAGAGAAAGGAAAGAATAGTCGTGAAACTTTGCCAGCCCCAACTGCAGGGAAGGAACCACAGGTCTGCCTTTGAAACCTGGGTTGGTTACCCTTGCAAAACCTGCAGTCACTCCACTTAATGTCTGTGGGTGAGAATAAGCACAGGATATGGTCCTGGGACCCCAGCTATAGAAGACCTCATGGATAATTTGCAACATTTAAAATTACTCCGGCTCCCTCAACATTTTTGGCTTACCATCAGTAGGAAGAAGCAGAGGCAGGAAGGTGTAGAGGAGAAAACAAAACTCAAAGAGGGCAGGCACCTTTTGGGAGTTAGTCTGAGAAGAACGTGGCCACGGGCTAAAGTGAGGCGGCAGGACTCCATCGGCCTCAGAGCAGGTTGCCTGGGAGCAGGGGTTCTTCGATTCCCTCCGTTGACCTCACTGCCTGCTGATACTTGCCCTCAGGGTAATTATGTGCTGGATCGAGATGACCTGGTGGAGGCCCAAACGCCTGAGTATGATGTGGTGCTCTGCCTCAGCCTCACCAAGTGGGTGCATCTGAACTGGGGAGATGAGGGCCTGAAGCGCATGTTTCGCCGGATCTACCGGCACCTACGCCCTGGAGGCATCCTGGTCCTAGAGCCCCAACCCTGGTCGTCGTATGGCAAGAGAAAGACCCTTACGGTGAGTTGGGTGTGGAGGGAATAATCCTTCCTTTGGTTGAGGCAAGAAAAGACCCCGAGGTGGGCATCGCCCTTGGCCAGGGGAGGTGGCAGTGTGTTGAAGTGTGGTCCCTTGCCTCTCTCCTTAGGAAACAATCTACAAGAACTACTACCGAATCCAACTGAAGCCAGAGCAGTTCAGTTCCTACCTGACATCCCCAGACGTGGGCTTCTCCAGCTATGAGCTTGTGGCCACACCCCACAACACCTCTAAAGGTAAGGCTGGTTTATTTTGTCAGGGAGGCCGGTCCTGGCTAAAAGAGTGCAGACCCCCGTGGGGATTCTTGAGGTGCTGCCACCCCTTCTGATCACTCCCTCTCCCCTCCTCCCCTCAGGCTTCCAGCGTCCTGTGTACCTGTTCCACAAGGCCCGATCCCCCAGCCACTAAGTGGCCCCCTGAACAGAAAGTGTGAAGAGGATGCCCTTGCTGCTCCTAAGGACCTGGGGGAAGAGGAAAGTGTCCCAGGGTCTTTCCTGACTCCAAAAATAGTTTCCTTTCTTGGATCTGCAAAGAAAGCTTTTCTTCCATCGCTGCCTCAGCCTCCTCCCTACGCCTCTGGCACCTGTGCAGCAAGGTGGCTGTGCTGGAGTCACCATCATCTTCCTCTCCCCCAGCCTCCCAGGCTGGATGGCATGGACTGTTTGCTGACCTCTGTTCTCTTAGGGCATGGGAGGTGGGAGGATATCAAATTCTCTAGCCCTTTCCTCCTATTCTCCCAAGGAGAGAGATTCCCATTTCTCCTCGGCTGTTGTCCCTAGCTCTTGTCCCTAGCTGCATTTCAGTGGACCATGGATAGATGGACTGAGGGTTCGAGGGGGAAGCCTGGCAGGGAGGCACGCAGGTACTGTGAAAATCCTTCCCTCTGTCCTCCCCCAGTGGGAGAGGGGGTTGGGTTTTGAATGTGAGAACAGCACAATAAACTTGATGTCTAGGGCAGTGGCCCCCACACCTGTGTTGGGTACGATCTAGCTGGTGGGGGATGGGTGGTGCCTCCCACCAGAACTTGTGTTGTTTCTCTCTACTGTTTGAAGGAAGACAAGTTTTTCAGTGGTTGGGTTGATTGTTCAACACTAGTCAAGTCCACACGCAAGTATACAGAAGCCTAGTTAGGAAAAGGTGTGTAATGCAAATTTTGGTGTGGAACTTGGAGTCTGCCTTCCCTCCCCAGAAAAACCCTGTACGGGCTTCGGGCAGAAGGCTAACTTTTCGGTTTTTGTTTTTCTGAGATGGAGATTCGTTCTGTCGACAGGCTGGAGAGCAGTGGTGTGATCTCGGCTTACTGCAACCTCCACCTCCCTGGTTCAAGTGATTCTCCTGTCTCAGCCTCCCAAGTAGCTGGGATTACAGGCACGCGCCACCATGCCCAGCTAATTTTTTGTATTTTTAGTAGACACGGGGTTTCACCATGTTGACTAGTCTGGTCTCAAAACTCCTGACCTCAGGTGATCCACCCGCCTCAGCCTCCCAAAGTGCTAGGATTATAGGCGCCAGCCACTGCACCCAGCCAGAAGGCTAACTTGTAAAGAGTTGGCGGTGGAGGCAGGCAAAAGTGCTTTGGATCAAATGCTCAGGGACAGACCAGCACCTTTTTTGTGCTGTGGAATGAGACTTACAGGCAATTAACAACATGAAGCTCTTCGGGGGCTTGTTAGGTGTTACTGGAACTTCGAACATACTGAGTATTCAGGTCAGGTGTAAACAGGATGGGCAAGGCTCTTCAAGGTAAAAAGCAAGGAGATAATTTCATTAACTCAGTGCAAACAGATGGCTTGCAAGCTCCTTGAGACAGGTAATCAGGGAAGGCCTCCGTGAAGTGTGATAGGCTGGGCCCTGCATTTTGGGAGATCAGAATAAGTGATGAGGCCGGGCGCGGTAGCTCACGCCTGTAATCCCAACACTTTGGGAGGCCAAGGCGGGTGGATCACCTGAGGTCGTGAGTTCGAGACCAGCCTGACCAACATGGAGAAACCCCGTCTCTTACTAAAAATAGAAAATTAGCTGGGCATGGTGGCCCATGCCTATAATCCTAGCTACTAGGGAGGCTGAGGCAGGAGAATTGTTTGAACCTGGGACGCGGAGGTTGCGGTAAGCCAAGATCGTGCCATACGTTGCACTCCAGCCTGGGCAACAAGAGTGAAACTCCGCCTCAAAAAAAAAAAAAAAAAGTGATGAAGAGAACAATCGCTGCGTGATCAAAAACAGGCAGTAGCTGTGGCTGGAGTCAGAGAGAGGCAGGTAAGGTTGCGAACGGAGGAGTATCTAAGTAAACCTCTAATGTGGACGGTGTTTTCCACTTGCCATGACTCTCCCAAGTTCCAAAAAGGCCCCCAAACTCGACTTCCAGGCAGCTTCCAACCTGAGGCTAAGTGGATAACCCCCAGAGAGCTTTTAACCCCATTTTAGGCCTCCAAGAAGAGTCCCATTTATTAGCAAAATTAGTTTATTCTAACAAATAGTTTAACAGAAAAATACGAACTAGTCCTCCAGGGATCTTTGGGGTCTACTACGCTTCCCATCGCCTCAGTGTCCGGTGCATGAGGAAGGTGTCCTCTGAAGGGCGGGGCCGGAGTTGAAGCCGGAGAGGGGACAAACCGTCGAGGGTCAGGTGTGGAGATTCATAAAATAGTGTTTCTGGGTCACACAAGATGGTCATGTCTGGCCCCGGCCCAGGTGGCGCCTGCTGGGAGGTGGGGCCCAAAGCAAGGTTACACTCTAGGAGGAAGAATCCGGGTAAGTGGGTACATGGAGGAAGCCCCACGCCCAGACCCCATCACCTTTGGGGGCGGGGCTCGAGCCTGTGGCGGCAGGAGAGCCAATTTCTCCCTGAGCGCAGCGTTCAGAACCTGTTCCTCCGGCACCTGCAGGCTCACCAGGTCCCGGAAGAGCCGCTTGGAGCGCGGCACGTTCAGCCCTGAGAGCGCAGCGGGGGCGGAGGTGAGTGGCGCCCCTCGCTCCGACTCCCGCGCGCGGCCGGCCGCCCGCCCCCCTCACCCTCGGACACGCTCTCCTCCAGGCCGCAGCGGATCTGGAACGACTTTCTTAGCTGTTCCTCCACGGCCTTCGCGGCATCAAAGTGGCTCCCGGCTGTGGCCCGCAGCTCCAGGCCCAAGGCCAGGCTGCTCTGCAGCACGGGCATCTCCAGCTCCTGCGGCACCGCAGGCTGCGGCTTGGACCGCACCGGGGAGGGCGGCGTCAGGCGGAAACGGACCTGGGAGCAGAGGGCAGTGGGGTGACTAGGTGGGCGCGAGGCCGTCGCAGACCGGGGGCCAGCCTCCCACGCTCACCTGCCGTCGCTGCCGAGCCGCGCCCCGATGCTCCCCCCGCCCCTTCCGCCGCCCGGGGCTGCCGTGACGCAGCTCAGGGCTGTCGGGCCGCGGGCTCAGGCTCAAGTCCAGGCCGGGCTCGGGCAGTGGGGCTCGGGGTTCCGGGGCTCGGGGCTCCGGGGGTGGTCCCGAGACCGCCGTGGCATCTTCCCCGTCCGCCAACTCCAGCTCTGACTCTCCACAGCTCATCATCTTTGGAGGTGTCTCGAGGGTGCGGAGATGCGGGGGGTCGCAGGCGGTCCAAGGGTCAGGGGACACAGCCTCAAAACCTCCTCATTTTCCCCGCCCCTCCTAGACGCCGCTACCGGAAACCGTTAACCCTTTCCTTCGGGGGCGGAGTCAGCAGCTCCAACCACCCTATTGGCGCTCCCAGGCGTCATTTCCCTCGTCCCGCCCCCAGGTTCCCGGCGGGCTTCCGCACTCACAGCCTTGGCACCACTCCCAAGCCGAAGTGTTGGACGCACTCACAGCCTTGGCACCACCCCTAAGCCGAAGTGTTTTTGAGGTGTTTTGGGAACGGTTGAAACCTTACGGGTCCTCATCAGGGCCACTCCTCCTCTTGAAAACTCTGCTATGGCTGAGTTGCCCAGAGGAATCTTAGTCCGGCTAGTGCTGCGATGCCCAGTGCCCAGTGTGTCAGTCCTCATTCCTGGGGCGCCAAATGGGGCAGCATTTTTTTTTTTTTTTTTTTTAGACTGAGCCTCTCTCTGTAGTCCGGGCTGGAGTGCAGGGGCGCGATTTCGGCTCACTGCAACCTCCGCCTCCCAGGTTCAAGAGATTCTCCTGCTTCAGCCTCCTGAGTAGCTGGGATTACAGGCGCGCGCCACCACGCCCGGCTAATTTTTGTATTTTTAGTAGAGACGGGGTTTCACCATGTTGGTCAGGCTGGTGTCGAACTCCTCGTGATCCGCCCACCTCGGCCTCCCAAAGTGCTGGGATTACAGGCGTGAGCCACCGCGCCTGGCAGCTTTAAGGTAACCGTCCAGTGTGCCCTGACCTCCTCACTCGGACCTCCACAGCATTTCCGGTGTTCCGTTGCCTCCAAACTCGGACCAGAGCTTCCCTGTATGAGTGCGGGCGGGGGTCCCCGACCCCACCCCGGACTCCGTCCTGGAACACAACAACCCTTGCAGCTTTTTGTGACTACTTTTACTTTCGAGAGTTCCCTGAAATATTAATTTGTATAAAAAGTAGATACCTGGAACGGGTGCGGTGGCGCATTCCTGCAATTCCAATTCTTTGGGAGGCCGAGTCGGGAAGATCGCTTGAAACCCTGAGTTAGAGACAAGCATGGGCAACATGCTGAGATCCCACACCACCAATCCCAATCTCTACCAAAAAAATTTAGCCGGGCGTGGTGGTGGTGCTCGCCTGTAGTCCCAGCTACTGGGAAGGCTGAGGCGGGAGGATCACTTGAGCTCAGGAGTTCCAGGCTGCAGTGAGCTCTGATACCACTGCGCCCTAGCCTGGGCGACAGAGCAAGACCCTGTCTCAGAAACAAACAAACAAACAAACAAAAAACTCTGTATTGTGAATTCAATGTTTTGGTTTGTTTTTTGAGATGGAGTCTCGCTCTGTCGCCCAGGCTGGAGGCTGTGGCACAATCTCAGCTCACTGCAACCTCTACCTCCCGTGTTCAAGCAATTCTCCCACCTTAGCCTCCCAAGTAGCTGGGATTACAAACGGCTACCACCACGCCCGGCTAATTTTTTTGTATTTTTAGTAGAGTCAGGGTTTCACCATGTTGGCCAGGTTGGTCTCGAACTCCTGACCTCAAGTGGTTCACCTGCCTTGGCCTCCCAAAGTGCTGGGATTACAGGCAGTAGCCACTGCACCCGGCCTTGAGTTCAGTTTTCTTCATTTTTAATGTCACTGGATTTATCCTGGGCCCTGAGCTTTTCCAGGTAGCAGAAGACTCCTAAACTGCAGAAAAGGAAATGAGAGCTCCCACCTGCTCCTTACGTTACTTGGGCAGGTTCCCTCAATTCTGCAAGCCTCTGTTTATTTTTGTGTAAAATATAAGTGGAAGTGGGTTCAGGAATCCTTTCTTACTCTTTTTTTTTTTAACTCTCCAAAGTGCTTCAAAAAGGTTCAGGAATCTTGAGGCTTTCCTGGAATTGATTGATGCTCAGTCAACAGGCATGTTTGTGTACCACTTTTCATTATGAGAGTTTCCACATTGTTCATTTTATCTTTCCAGGAAGTGCTGTGGAACATCAGATAGAATGGATAGCATAGCCCATATTTTACAAAAAGGATTTTAAAGGAAGATCTCAATGGTGAAACACTAGAGGCTTTCCTGCTAAAGTTAAAAACAAGAAAGTATGTCTATTATCTCTGTTGTTCAATTGTGAAAAGAAACAGCTAGGTACAAATATAACTTTTTAAACTGGGAGTATAAATTAAAAATTTTTAATGGTGACATAGGGAGAGAATAGAATGAAAGACAAAGAGTCTAGATTCCTCTGAATATATTTTGTTTTGTATATCTGACTTTGGAAATGTACACATTTTATATGATTATATTAAAAAGTTTTAAAAAATCAGGCCAGGCACGGTGACTTACACCTGTAATCCCAGCACTTTGGGAGGCCAGAGCAGGTGGATCACTCAAGGTCAGGAGTTCAAGACCAGCCTGGCCAGCATGGTGAAACCCTGTCTCTACTAAAAATACAAAAATTGGCTGGGTGCGGTGGCTCATGCCTGTAATCCCAGCACTTTGGGAGGCCGAGGTGGGCGGATCACGAGGTCAGGAGATCAAGACCATCCTGGCTAACATGGTGAAACCCCGTCTCTACTAAAAATACAAAAAAAAAAAAAAAAAAAAAAAAAAGCCAGGCGTGGTGGTGGGCGCCTGTAGTCCCAGCTACTCAGGAGGCTGAGGCAGGAGAATGGTGTGAACCCAGGAGGCGGAGCTTGCAGTGAGCTGAGATCGCGCCATTGCACTCCAGAGCGAGACTCTGCCTCAAAAAAAAAAAGAAATACAAAAATTAGCCAGGCGTAATGGTGCACACCTGTAATCCCAGCTACTTGGGAAGCTGAGGCACAAGAATTGCTTGAACCCAGGAGGCGTATGTTGCAGTGAGCTGAGATCGTGCAACTGGACTCCAGCATAGGTAACAGAGTGAGACTCTGCCTCAAAAAATAATAATAAAATACAAATACAAAAAAATTAGCTGGGTGTGGTGACAGGCACCTGTAGTCCCAACTACTCGGGAGGCTGAGGCAGGACAATCACTTGAACTCAGGAGATGGAGGTTGCAGTGAGCCAAGATTGTGCCACTGTACTCCAGCCTGGGTGACAGAGCTAGACTCTGTCTCAAAAAAAAAAAAAGTTAACAAATCATGCTGTATTTTACCTTAAATTGAAAAGTATTAAGGCTGAGCACAGTGGCTCAAGCCTGTAATCCCAGCACTTTAGGAGGCCGAGGCGGGCAAGTTGCCTGAGCTCAGGAGTTCGAGACCAGCCTGGGCAACATGGCAAAACCTCGTCTCTACTAAAAAGTATAAAATATTAGCCAGACTTGGTGGCACGTGCCTGTAGTCCCATAGTCCCAGCTACTCAGGAGGCTGAGGCATGAGAATCACTTGAACCCAGGAAGCAGCAGTTGCAGTGAGCCAGGATCTCGCCTCTGCACTCCAGCCTGGGTGGCAGAGTGAGACCCTGTCACAAGAAAAAAAAAAAAAATGTTGGGGTTTGGAACAGTGTTTGAGGGTACATGGATGAAACAAGATTAGCCAAATGTTGATGACTGCTGAAGCAGGATTTTATTACTATATTTTCTCTACTTTTGCATATTCTTGAACATTTCTGTGACTAAATGTTTTTTGTTTATTTAAAAAAAGAGGCTGACGCAGCTTTGGCATGCAGGAAGTGTTGGAGCTGAAACTCAAAACTGTCCCCCAGGCCTTGGCTGTGGTGATAAATATCTAGGCCCTACAGGAGTTTGTGTCCATGAACCCAGTAAATGCAATTACTCAGCCTCAAAATCTAGTCACTATCTCATTTCAGGCCCCAACACAGATGAAAACAAGCCATTCTGTTTGCCGAGTTTACATTGCGGGTCTCCAAGAAGTGGAGTGTTCACCAGTGATTTTAAGAAAACAGGGCCTGGCGTGGTGGCTCACGCCTGTAATCCCAGGACTTTGGGAGGCCAAGGCGGGCAGATCACCTGAGGTTGGGAGTTTGAGATCAGCCTAACCAACATGAAGAAACCCCGTCTCTACTAAAAATACAAAATTAGCCGGGTGTGGTGGCGCATGATTGTAATCCCAGCAACTCGGGAGGCTGAGGCAAGATAATTGCTTGAAGCCGGGAGGCGGAGGTTGCGGTGAGCCAGAGATCGCGCCATTGCATTCCAGCCTGGGCAACAAGAGCGAAACTCCATCTCAAAAAATAATAATAATAATAATTTTTAAAAAAGAAAACAGTACCAGTGTAAGGATTGGAAGATGGAGGTGAGAGGCCTTGGGCCTGCCCACATTCTTCCTAAGTTATTTTGGCTGGCCCAGGCTGGGAGGCCAGGAATTGCTTTTCCTCTTAAAAAGAAAAGGGGACAAAAACTTAGCTGGGCGTGGTGGCGGGTATCTGTAGTCCCAGCTACTCAGGAGGCTGAGGCAGGAGAATCGCTTGAACCCGGGAGGCAGAGGTTGCAGTAAGCCAAGATTGCGCCACTGCACTCTAGCCTGGGTGGCAGAGCGAGACGCCGTCTCAAAAAAAAAAAAAAAAAAAAAAAAAAAAAGTGGAGAGGAAGACAGGGCGTGGTGATTCATGCCTATAATTCCAGCACTTTGGGAGGCCAAAGCGGGCAGATCTCTTGAGGCTAGGAGTTCGAGACCAACTGGGGCAACACAGTGAAACCTTTATCTACTAAAACTACAAAAAATTACCTGGGCATGGCAGCACATGGGTGTAAGCCCCCACTCGGGAAGCTGAGGCACGAGAATCACTTGAACCTGAGAGGCAGAGGTTGCAGTGAGCCAAGATGGTGCCACTGCACTCTAGCCTGGGCAACAGCGTGAGACTCTGTCTCAGAAAAAAAAAAGAAAAGAAAGGCTGGGACACAGTGACTCATGCCTGTAATTCCAGCACTTTGGGAGGCAGAGGCAGGAGGATTCCTTTGAGGCCAGGAGTTCAAGACCAGCCTGGGCAACATAGTGAGACACTGTCTCTATAAAACAATTAAAAATTAGCTAGGCGTGGTGGTACATGCCTGTAGTCCCAGGTACTGGGGAGGCTGAGGTGGAAGGATCCCTTGAGCTTAGCACTTCGAGGCTGTAGTGAGCTATGATCACGCCACTACACTCCAGCCTCGGCAACAGAGCAACACCCATCTCTTAAATATTATTTATTATAAGACTTTTGATTGGGTTAGACCTCACCAGTTAGAGATGCTCCTTTAGTTATCTGAGGCTGCTGAGTGGGGTAGTCCCAGACCTGGCTGCTAGTTTGAAGAAAGCAAGTCTCAGTGCTGGAAGGGGTCATTCAAGGTCATCCCTGAGCTTCTGCTGAGCCAGGTGCTATGGGTGGGCTAGGTGGGACAGGAAACAGGTCAGCATCTAGGGTCCTTCAAGGGACCATGTCCTTGAGAAGGGGTAGGATGCCTCCAATGCAGTGGTCCACTGCATGGTGTGGCTGAGACTGCTACAGAGGACACGAGAAGACCTGCCAGGGTT